ACCCGGGCACGGTACCTGCAGAGTGGGAGGGATTTTGGGGGCTTGGGCCTCACCCCACAGCCCACAGCCCACTGCTGCCCTGGCCCAGCCCGTGGGGTCACCCCATCCCCTCCTCACCATTCCCCGTCGACAAACTTGGCGATGCAGAAGTCGCCCCGGCGCGGGACGAAGGAGCCCTCCACGGGCGGGTGGGCGCCCACCTCGGCACGCATGTTCTCCATCAGCTTCTCCAGCTGGGCGCCTGCGGGGCCCCGATCCAGGATAAACCCCAGTCCTGGCCCAGACCGACCCCAACCCCGCTCCTCAGTGTGGCCACAGAGCCTGAACCCCAAATCCCAACAATGACTTCAACAGTAGATCCCAAACCTGGACCTCCACCCCAGACCCTACCCCTAGACCTTAACCTTTGGACCCCAAACGTGGATCCCAGTCATGGACCCCTACCCTGGTCCCAAAAGTAGCCCTGGGGGGTGAAGGGGTGACCCCATGTCACCTTGGACATGGATTTGGGCCTTACCCACCAAGCCCACAGATCCTCATGCCACAGATCCAACTCGCCCCACCACGCACGGTCTGGGGGGCGCCCCGGGTGCTGGGGGTGCCCAGGTGTCCCCCCGTACCCGTCTCCACGTCCTGCACGTAGAAGTGGAGGTCGTCGGTGATCTCGGTGACGAACACGGGTTTGTAGTTGGCCGTGCGCTCCTTCTCCTCCAGCACTGGCACCACCTCCTCCACCGGCGTCTCCTCATAGTGGGACCACACCTGGGGGGACACGGGGTGGGGACCCCGGCCACGCTCCAGGTGACAGCAATGGGAGGGTGGGGGGCTGGACCCGCCAGTGGGAACATGCCCAGGCCTCAGTCGTGTGCCTTGGGTGGGACATCCCCCCAGGTGGGACATCCCTGGGTTGGGACATTGCTGGGATGGGATATTGCTGGGATGGGACATCGATTGGCTGGGACATCCCTAGGGTGGCACATCTCTTAGCATGCGACCATCATCTCTTGGGGTGGGGACATCTATCTCCAGGAGTGGGGACATTCCTCGGAGTGGAACATCTCTTAGGATAGGGACATCCACGGTGGCAGGGTCACCTCTTGTGTGGGCAGCCAACGGGTGTGAACATTAATTGGGGTTGCAAGATTCCCTGCAGTGGGGCCATCAGCTCTTGGGGTGGGGACATCCCTTCGCACAGGGACATCTCTTGGGGTGGGGACATCCCTCGGCATGGTGCCACCCCTCAGAGTGGGACTGTCTCTCAGTGTGGAGACACCTTCTGGAGCGAGGCCACCTCTTGACGCGGGGACATCCTTCGGTGGGCAGATCTCTCAGGGCGGGGACATCTGGTGTGGTGGGGCCGTCTTTTGGGTGGGAGCATGTCTCTGGGGTGGTGACACTGCTGGGGCACCTGACCCCTGACCGCCCTCACCTTCTCCTTCCTCTGCTTGGCCGCGTCCTGGGCCGCCAGCAGGGCCTTGCAGTAGGGGCTGCGCTCGGCCGTGAAGTGGACGCGGGACAGCGCCTGCTCCACCAGCGCCACCGACAGGTTCACGCCCTCGATGTGCAGCCACCCGATGAAATTCCCGGCCTTGTCCATGCTCTCCACCTCCACCTCAACCTGTGGGATCCCGGGAATCCCCTGAGCTGCGGGCCCCTGTCCCCACCCCGGCCTGCCCCAAGCGCCACCTCCTCCCAGAGCTGGCGCAGGTGGTGCCCCCCCAGCTGCCTCCCTGCACCCAGCCTGGACCCCGGGACCCCCGAGGTGCCAGCCCTAAGTGTCCCCTTGTGGTGGGGGACAAGGGACACACGTGACCCTCCCACGGGGTACACGAAGCCACCAGGTCCTGCCACATCCTGTATCCCATTCCACCCTGGGTATCACACCCTGGGAATGCCATCCTGGGAATGCCATCCTGGGAATCACACCCCACCCCAGGACGGGTTGGACCTGTGGCCGGTGTGGCCCTGCGGACAGCACACGGCACAGGACAGGCCCGGCTGTGTGCCCAAGGGGACAGCGAGGTTTGGGCTCAGGGCTGACAGACGGGCCGCACCACCACGGTTCAAACCACGGCCGTGGCCTTTGTCACCGTCACGGGGCTTTGGCTTTGCCAGCACTGCCACACGGGGCCTGTGCCACCCCTGAGCTCACCCATCCCACCACAACCACTCCCGCTGCTTCCCAAAGCCTGGAGGTGTCCCACTGTCCTTGCGCTGCGCTGGCCGTGGCACCGCACTGGACATGGCACCACGTCAGCCACGGCACCAAAACCAGCCATAGAATTCGGCCAGCCATGTTACCATATTGGCCGTGGCACTGCACTGGACATGGCACCACGTCAGCCATGGCACCGAAACCATGCCAGCCATGTCACCACACCAGCCATGTCACCACACTGGCCATGGCACTGCACTGGACATGTCACCACACCAGCCATGTCACCACACTGGCCGTGGCACTGCACTGGACATGGCACCAAATCAGCCACGGCACCAAAGCCAGCCATGGAATTGGGCCAGCCATGTCACCACACCGGCCATGGAACCACGCTGGACATGGCACCATAATGGACATGATGCCACACTGGACATGTCACCATACTGGCCATGCCACTGCAGTGGACATTGCATCATGTCAGCCACGGCACCAAAACTGGCCATGGCATTGTGCCAGCCATGGCACTGCACTGGCCATGGCACTGCGCTGGTCATGGCACTGACCATGGAACTTCACTGGCCATGGAATTGTGCCAGCCATGTCACCACACTGGCCATGTCACCACACTGGCCATGGCACCACATTGGCCATGGCACCGCACTGGACATGTCACCACACCGGCCATGTCACCACACTGGACATGTCACCATACTGGCCATGCCACCCCACTGGCCATGGCACTGCACTGGACATGCCACCACACCGGCCATGTCACCACACTGGACATGTCACCACGCTGGACATGGCACCACACTGACCATGGCACCACGCTGGCTGTGGCACCACAGTGGACAGGGCATCACCGAGGGCACCACAGTGGCCACTGGGCACCACCGTTGGTGGTGGCACCGTGGCAGACACAGCACTGTCACACAGTGGACATGGCACCACACCAGACATGGCACCGCACTTGCCAAGTCCGGTGTGCGGCAGGGACACGGCCCCAGGCCACCCGCTGCCCCCAGGAGTGCCAGTGCCAGGCTGGCCCCTGGGGTCAGCACCTCGTGCACGGCTGTGGCACCTCCCCAGTGCCGCAGGGTGACACTCCGGGTGACAACGGTGTCCCTGTCTCCCGCGTCACCACTGGGTCACTGGCCGGGGACACGCGGGACAGTGACGGACTCAGGGACAAGATGTGGCCACTGCAGTGAACACAGAACGTGTGGGACCCACCCGTGGGGCACAGGAGGCCACCAGCTCCTGCTGCACCTCCTGGTGGGGACATCACTGGAACAGCCGAACCCCCCTGGGGACGCGCCAGCATCACGGGGACAGCGACCCCCGGGAGGAAGGACAGGAGGGTCCTGGGGTGCCCTGGAGCACCGCCAGAGGGGGTGTCCCAGAGGAGCCACCAGCCCCGCAGAGGTCCCACCACCCAGTGCTGGCACTCAGGTGACAGCTCCAAATGCCACCAGTGCCACCAGAGCAGGGGAGGCCACAGGGTGCTTACGGGGGGCTGCAGGTGGTGTCATGCCCCCCCAGTCCCAGGGGGACGGAGGGGACAAGGCACTGCTGGGGGCGCAGAGCTCAGCCTGGGTCCCAGAGAGCAGCAGCAGCAGCAGGTCCCTGTCCCTGTCGCCCGTGGCCAGCCCTGGCAGTCGCCCCGTGTCCCCCCTGCACCCCGGCAGGGCTGCTGCTCCCCACCGGTGGCACAGCCGGTGGCACACCGGGGCCCAGGGGTCCCCGTTCCGCGGGGGGCTCGGAGCCGGGGTCCCGCCGGCCCTCGTCACCTCAAAGCCGCCGAGCCCCGCGCTGCCGCCCCCGGCCCTCCGTCCCTCCGTCCGTCCGTCCGTCCGTCCGCCTCCCCGGGCCCGAGGAGGGGTCGCTCAGGGAGCGGCCCCCCCTCCAGGAGCCCCGAGCGGGGCTGCGGGGAGGGGGAGGAGGAGGAGGCGGCGGCGGGAGGGAGGGAGGAGGAAGAGGAGGAGGAAGCGGCGCATCCCGCATCCCCCTCCCCGCGCACAAAACCGCTCCGGGGCCGCCGCACCGGCCGAAGCGGGGCCGGCGGGGGCCCCTCCGGAGAGCGGCGGGTGGGTGGGTGGGTGGGGGTGCGGGGGGCGCGGGGGGGTCTGTGCGGAGCCGGGATGCGTCAGCAGGAGCAGCGGGAGCGGCGGCAGCAGCAATCCATCCGCGCTCGCACTGAAGGACAAAAGGATGAGCCAGCCGCCTGCGCGGCTGCTTCCCGCACCGCCCGCACCGCCCCGCACCGCACCGCCCGCACCGCCCGCACCGCCCCGCGCGGCCCCCGCCACCGGAGGATGCCCGCCGGCACCGCGACCGCCACCGCTGTCACCGCCGCTGTCACCGCCACCATCGCCCCGCGCCGCCGCTGAACGCGACACCCACGCGGGGACGCGGGAACGACACGCGGGAGGGGACGGGACGGGACCCCCCCGCCCCGCCACCAGCGCAGCCGCCGCCGCTACCGGGAGGTGCCCCCGCCGGCATCTCCCCCCCCCCACGCCGACGCCCTTTCCTCCCCCCCGCTCCCTCCCCGAACCGCGTTTTTCCCTCTCCCGGGGGGGGCTCCCCGCGATTTATTTATTTATTTCGGCCTATTTTTAATCTTTATTTTCCTGTTTTATTTTTAGGTTTCGTCCGGGTTGTTTGGGGTGGGTTTTTTTTTTTTT